GACGTCGTATCTTGGTTTGACCGTTTCTGACTTTCTCGTAACTTGTTCCTACTCCAGTCAACTGTATACGTCGAAGTAGGCGATGGTTGAGTATACGTAATACATGTACAACCACAATGTAATTAAGGTGAGATAGAATATCAATGAAATACACTGATTATTATGTATGGTCATCGCTAATTTGAAATTTGAATCATTCCTGACAATGTACCAAGTCATTATGGAATTTCATACGGATAGTCAGGACGAACCAATAGATACTAACAAAGTGACTGTCTTTTGTTCCAGGATTTGCTATCTTAAGCTCAGCATTTTGTCCCAACATGGGCAAATAATCTTTAGTTGAAGAGCTCCATTGGGACAATACACTTGAAATGTTTCCTGATTATCAAGAGCATTGTTTCACGTTTGATAAGACTTATCAGCTAATTAACTCAACACATTTAGAAAATTTAGGATTATTTAGATCATATTACCACTGAATCAATCAATCAATCAACAGCAACCTAGAACTTCGTCCGTACGCACATCAGTTCAAGTTGCCATACTGCATTAGCACAGAGATGTAATTGTCACTTCAAATCCCACTGCAGTAGAGGTAGTAGAAGCATGAGCAGTAATCGGAAAGATTAGGGTTCGAAGATATTATTCAAGAAGTAGAATCTAGTGAAATAAACTTAAAAAGAAAAAGGTAAAGGTGATGAGGAATTCAGAAGGTTACGATTTGAGAGAACACAATGAATGAATGCACCTGCACCATTGCAACTGATTTTGAGCCATATCATTCAGTGTTTCTAACCGTCGATTACTATCATCTCGCGGACCCCAACCAGGAAGTCAATACTACCAACATGACTCAGTCTAGTTGTCAGTGACTTTATGGATTTCTGCCATGTTTAAGTTAGGTCGCCCCTAGCTTTCATCCAACCTATTCCTACATCACAAAACATAGCTCAATGAGGCAGTCGGTGGTTAGGCATACGCAACACATATCCTAACCACCTCAACTAATGCAGTTTCAATACTACATCTATTGACCTGCCATTCTTACCTAGCATCCGTTTCCTAACCCCTGAATGATAAAACTATCCTACCGGGGAAACAGTCCAAAGGATTTCATAAACTTTGCTGTTTAAAAATTCAATTTCAGAAACTATCTTTTTCACGTGTATTCATTAGGCATATGTATATACTTGTGTATATATTGTTGCTTCGAAAAGGAATACAGTGTAAAAGCAAAAGAATTTATTTCATTATTTGTAATCATCAGTCATGAATACTTTAGCTGTTTATTCTTCAAATTTATCTATGTTTATAGAGTTTTGTCTTCGTCTAATTCCGTTTTGACCTTTATATTATTATCATTATTGTGTTAACCAAATTGTGATAATAAATATTCATATTTCACTACTTTACAGCTCAATAATTCACGTGCTTTGAATTCAATGGAGAATTTAGAACTCATTGATACATTGCAAAAAACTCCACAAAGTTTACCGAATAAACGACCAAGAGGTCGTCCACCTAGTCGGTTTAAACAATTAGAGAATATATCACCAGTTAGTAATTCTTCATCATCTGAAGTATTAGACTTTGTGAAACATTCTAAAATTTCTGAGAGTAATACAAATCAAGGGTAAGTGTAAAGATTAAATTAAAGTTATGTTAATTGTCTCTAATATCGTTATTATTACTATGATTATTATTATTACTATTACTATTATTATTCACGTCAGTAATCTTACTAGCGACTAGTTTTGGAAGGTACTTTCTTAGGTTAAAGTGAGACTCTGTAAGCACTACGGTTCAACCATGATGGTTGCTCAATATGGTTGGTCGACTGAAGTTAGAATTTTTGGTGATATGTTCGCTAGCAGAACGGTTAATCCACAAATCAACCTTATACTACATCGATATTCTAGAAATTCTATCGAGCTGTGATTGAATGAAAACTCTTCGGCTTCTTGGTAGCCTATAGAAGCTTCTGGTAGCCATTTGAACAGTTACCCACTTAGTGGTCCGAATGTTAAGCGCTTAGCATGAAACATGAAGGTTTTTGGTTCAATCCCCGATCAAGTCGTGGTTACGCACTACTGAGGAGTCTCAAATTAAGAAAAAACAGTAATCCTGTGTTTCTTGGTTTCCAGTGGTGTCTATATTAAGGTCACTACATGAAGCTTAAATATACGATTCAGGTGTTAATTATTTTATCTGAAGTCACTGACAAGTGAACTGATTCATGTCGGTAGATGTAGGTTACCTGGTTGGGGTCCGCGAGATGATAGTAACCCATGGTTAGACACCTTGAACCACATGGTTTAAAATCGTTTGCAACGGCGTAGGTGCATCCACTCTTTATGTTCCTTCAAATCCTAATCTTCCGGATTCATCAACACCTCTCTACCTTTGTCTTTCTAAACGTATCTCACTGAATTATACATCTTGAATAATATCTTCAATTCCTAATCTTTTCTATTACCAGTAATACTTCTACTAACTCTGCGATTATGGGATTTGAATTGACAATTGCGTCTATGTGCTAATGTGGTATGGCAACATGAAATGAAGTACTACGTTGTAACTGACTGACTGCTATAGTTCTACGTGAACATAACACATCTAGTCAACTTTACACCAATGATTTTTGACTTGTTGTGGAGCTGTTCTTTTCAATGGTAGGTATAAATGCTATAGAGTGTTGTATACTTCATCTCTGTTTAAACAGTTCCTAGATTAATCAGAAGTAGTTCTATACTGTCTTTTTAATATAATCAAGTCGGTACCTGTAAACCTAATTAACTTTCACTTTAAAGTTATCAGCGTTTATTTTCAATAGAATTTTTATGTTGAGCTTAAATCAATTAAATGAGTTCTTTGATTTAAATACTTATTTAATAGTCAGCAATATAACTTTAATGCTTTTCATTGTCACTAATAAAATATTTATTATCATATCTACATGCGAATAATCTTGAAGGTGTTTTTTTTCCTCTAAGCTAGATTACTTGATCTTATAAACGACATATTCATCATCTAAGTTGATGATATAGAAGGCTAGACTGGCTTTTGCCAACTTGTGTCATTTATGGTGTAGGCAAGATATCCGTCTATCAACCAAAGGACGAGTCTACTGTGCATCAATTCTCCCCGTCTTAATTTATGGCTGTGAAGCATAGCCAGTAAGAATAGGAGATATTCGTAGGCTATCATTACTATTCAATCATCGGTGTCTTTGATGCCATTGGTTGTAAATCCTAGGATAGTTAAGCTAAAATTATTCTTTATTCTAAATATTGTATTTATCACTGACTATTTTTTCTTCCCCAAATTTTTTTCATGCTTCAATTATTTAGCTCTAAACGAACTAATGCAAAAACTTTAAATTCTCGTTCAAAATGTTTAAATTCACCAACGAAAACATCTACTCCTGATGGTGGTGAATTTATACCGACTGGATTTGTAAATACTAACAACAATAGCAACAGTAATAATAGAGATATCAATTGTTCACTTCGACAACGTGTTCGTACTCGACTTGTTGATTTATTTTCGGACAGTGATGATGATGGCCATAATGAACCGTCTGTTAGTTCACCGAAATTATCTACAACACCTCGTAAAGGTACATTGAAATCACCGTTGAAACTACAATCACCAAAAAAGCCATCATCATCATCGTCTGTCAAACAGAAAAAACAACACCAGAAACAGAAACATCACCTAATAACAACTTCTATTTCAAATCAATCCCTTTTTAAATCTCCAGAGTTTACATCTTTAACCACGGCTGATCGTAGACGTTCAGGTTGGTGTCAAACATCACCAGAATTATTAGCTGTTGCAAAAGCTGAAGCATTAGGTCGTAGAGCATTGAAACTTGCAGAAATGAATTTTCATTGAACCTACTACCTCAAATGTTTGTAGATGTTTTATTTGTATCTTTTGTGTATCAATGCTGCATTTTTTTTTCTCTCACAAGATAAAAATATGTGTAAATTTATGTTGTTTGTCTGTGAAAGAAAAAGATAATCTTTGTTTACTGTATTTTATTTTAATTCATATTTATTCTATTTGTTTAATTGTGAAACTAGGTAAGATTTCTATTATTATTATTATTATTATTATTATTACTTTTTTTGAAAATATCTGAAAAAAAAAAAAGTTTTTAGATATGTTTACTTTGTTTTTATGTTATGTCTTCCTTCATATTGAAATATATTCCTGAAGCATTGAAGTGAAACAGCTGACTTGATAATCAACATTAGGATATAGGTATATTCTCAGTTAGATTTATGGAGATTAGTGTTTTTACACATTTGAAATCATCAGTCGATCATTGTTAGACCACCATTAGAAATTTGGAAGCACTGGACGGCCGTTTCGTCCGAATATGGGACTCATCAGCAGTGCGGTCGCGCAAAATCTGTAGATCAATCAGAGTTAGACATTAACATCGTTGGATCCCGGCCCGTTGGTTCTATGGTTAGGAGTTCGCGCACGATACCGAAGGTCCCGGGTTCGAATACTGTCAGGTGCAAGAGTCGTGGATGTGCACTGTTGATGAGTCCCATACCAGGACGAAACGGCCGTCCAGTGCTTCCAGGTTTCTAATGGTGGTCTAACAATGATTGATTGATGATTTAAATGTGTAAAAACAGGCATATTCATTTGATGTTTTCCAATATATATGATGGACTGTGCTTTTTGGATCCCTAGAACTCACTTGGAAAGGTTCTAATTATGTAATTTATTCCTGAACTTTTGAATGGCTATGTTTTCGCGCCAGAGACGCTTAGTTGACCTTCAGCTTACATTTCTCACTCGGAAAATACTTGGCTGTCATTGGTTGGTGGATTATTTTAGTACGCTATTTTGTAGCGCTCACCAAGGGTGTTTCTATCATTGTATAAATTAGCTTGATTTGTGGGCTTAGCAAACACGAATTTTCTGGATGCTTGTAGAATCAAAACTTCTTGCTGTAGTTAGCAGGACCTGGATAAACGGATTAGAATAGCCTGTCGTGCCACTGTATCGTTGACCTTTGTTCCATTTACCGAGGAAGCTGAACTCGTACTAGTTTTAAGCATATCACCACTATTCAAATCAATTTTGTGTGTACGTTGAGTGCACCATTATGAGTTGACGTGTAAAGTTCATAACAAAAATATCAAGTTAACGGACAAAGTTGTGCACCTTCACTTCGCTACTTTATTTCTCCAAGCGATAACTATTAAGATAAGCCTCATGATTGTGCGGACGAAAGATTACATTGTCACTGACTGTTGTTCAATATTTATAAGCAAGTGTTATTTACTGATTGGCAAATAGCTCAAAGAAACCATACTTCGTCGACTGCTCATTTATTTTTTTGATATATATGGGTTTTCGTTTGGGCTACGAATCGTAGCCTCTGAGAAAGATGCAGTTTTTTGCCCATAGATTCCCGTTCATTTTAATCATCAATACTTGTCTATACACCTCTAGAAGTATATACGTATTCTCATTAAACTAAATTTAGTATTTATGGTGCTTTTATTAACCATAGTGTCCGATGATATTACGTCTGAATTTCTGATTGGTAGCCTTCTTGGTACCAATCAATACTGTTGAACTTCAGAATCAAAATAAAATTGTGCTACTTAGAAGTAGTATCTGTTATTTTTAAAAAAACTGACTACAAATCAATTGTTAATAAATATATATCAGTCTAGTTTTGGAACATTTATAAACAGTACTTAGTTTCCTATTTACATCCTTTCGAAAATCAAGTTTAAAAGCACAAAATTGTGCACCAAACTACATAAAGAATTTCTAAGAATACTCATCAATATTTGGACGACTAGTCAGACAAAAATTGGGCCCCTAGTATATGGAAAATCTTATTTTTGAAAATTATATTCGAAATGATCTCGGCGAAGAAGTAGTAGTAGGTGTAGACTATCTTGTTGGGTTCCGCAAGATAATAGTAACCAATGGTTGTAGACATGGCTCAGATTCTTATCTGAATTCCTCATAACTCTTATTATTCTCTTTTTAAATTTATTCCACTGATATGCACTTCTTGAATCCTTAGCTTGTTCGTTATCGCTAATACTTCTACTACTATGGGATTTGAATTGACAGTTCGATCTGTCTGTGCTAACTTTATAATCAAGCATGTTGTCATCAGAAATAGGTCACACAACAGTTCGTATCTGTCTGTCACACTAATTCATGATATGACTGTGATTAAAGAGTGTATGGAGCACCACAATGCTGCCAATCTGCTGAAGCCAAAGTTAGGGAGGCAGAGTTTAAAGATATACTCTAATAACTAAAAATTGAGTACATTAAACATGTAAACTCATCCGTTCATAGCCTGGCGATTTATTCATTCGTGGGTTCATATTCTAAGGCATCCTGTTGTTATATGCAACGATATTTAGCATTATCTCTTGCAAAGTGGTGGTTGGATGTAGTCGACAAGAAACTCTGGACCGAGATTTCGTGCTATTTGGCACTCGTCAGCATGTGTCCTCATAATCTTGGGGAAACATGCTCTCTAGAGGATTTGACCTTGTATCACCCAGCTTTACATTCAGAGATGTTACCATCAGGTTATCTGTGCCACTAGCCTCCTATAGGACCGAAATGTATTCGACCAGTACATGATATTGGTCGCTACCACGTGATTGATTAATTGTAAGCACTATCTCCTATACATTTCTCGGGGCTCACTGTATAGTAGAGAAATCTTATCAAACTGGTTTTAAATCTTGTCTTCACGATGTTATTTTAAGGTTAATTTGTGTTGGCTACTGTAGGGTTTACTACGTGGCTTGTCCCAGCTTTTGGACAAACTAATTGATTCTTCTTGAGTTATTATTCACGTGTCTTTGACATTATCAATTATGCACTTATAAGCTTGACTGTTTATACTTGAGCATTGCTCACTTCGCTTATCACATGCTTGGCCTATTTTTTTGTCTGACTAATAAAACTTAGTCATACATCGCCGATTGATTTGGCCCACCCACCTTTGCTTCATTTCTCCTCTTAAGGTTGTCTTTATTGTCTGTCTGCTGTCTCTCAAACGGGGTTTGCTTAAGCATGACATACGGTAATTAAACGAAAGAATATTCAGTTGTTCGTCCAAATTGGAGACAGATCAAAGGGTCACCAAATCCCCAAATTATTAAAACTGAGGAATCCATAAATGAGTGTTTTGTACGTGGTCGCTATTAGCACTATAAGCCCTGGAATTCCATACCAGAATGAGAGGAAAAACCCTAGTTCTGTAAATTTTCGTAGGACAGTGTCGACAACCAACTGTTCATTTTCTTATTCATTTAACGTAAAATGAGCGTATCTGTAGTTTAATGTTAATATGAAGCATCAATCTTCACTCTCAACGTGCATGCTAGTCATCATAATAATTAAAGCGATTAATTTATGTCTTGGTTGTGTTATTTCTGATATATGATACAAGAATAAACTCCATCTTAAGATTGACTCAGTCGTTCATTGTATAAAATATTAGGATGTTTTGTAACGGAAAAGTCGTGTACGTCTGCCGATTTCGTCGCTACATTTTTTTCTACTCAAATACTTTCCTAGTAGTTTAAATTTTTGAACATAAAAGTATTGTTGATGATGTCCATAATCATTCTATTTGTAGTGTCATTGATCGAAACAGTATTTTCCACAGTAGTTGAGAATATGTACATTTATTCGGACAATGTAACCAATATATATAAAGGAATTTTTAATGTACGATCCGTTTTCCTGTATGGATACGAAACATGGTCGGAAAGAGTAGAAGATATTCGTAGGTTACTAGTATCCAATCATAGATGTCTTAGAAGCATTGCTCGTGTATCGTTGGACAGCCGAGTAGGTAATGCTGTCGTTAGGAAACGAGTACTAGGTAAGGATGGCAAATCAATAGATGAAGTATTGAAATTTCATCAGTTGAGGTGGTTGGGACATGTGTTACGTATGCCTAACCAACGACTGCCTCGTCCAGCTATGTTTTGTGATGTAGGAATAGGTCGGACGAGAGCTAGGGGCGGCCAAACCAAAACATGGTAGAAATCCATGAAGTTGAATAATATCTTGGAACCCTAATCTTCTTTATTACCAGTAACACTTCTACTATCTCTACCACTATGGGATTTGAACTGACTATTGCGTCCCTGTGCTAATGTGGTATGGCAACATGAACTGAAGTACGTACGTACGAAATTCTACGTTGCAACTGACTGACTGTCAATGTTTTGTGAAACTCTTAAAATATATTTGCAGTTTAGTATCACGGATCAACCTAATATAATTTACATCATGAACTGACTTTAATTAGGAAATCATCAAGAACGAAGATCGACTGGATAGCTGTTCTATCCTATTATCAAATTTCTCAAACTGCACATATCGACAACCCAGCCAGGGATGGGACTTTGGACATTCAAACTACTGAGCTGTTGTTCATTAGTTCTTATTTCTTGTTTCATTCATGGACATTAGTAATGTTTGTCTCAATGGTGTTCAACTGTCCAATGGGATTTTAAATTGTGGCATATTTCATCAAATGCAGTAAATGCATATAAAGTACACATTATTTGGATAATAGGTTACTCTGTATGTTCATAGTAACTTTTATTAAGATAAAACCAACATTTAATAAGTTGATCAAGGAAAAGCTTGTTATATAAGCCTTAGGATATTCATCAAATATCCTAAGAGAACTATTTTTGGATCACTAATTCTATTGGTCAGTATCATGGTCGTCCTAACTGTCACTGTCACTTCAAATGTTGTTTCCTATTGGTCGTCTTAACTATCAATATCACGGACTTCAATGTTGTTCCTATTCGATCTAACTGTGTAAATGCGCACTATCTGTAACCTGGACCCGGACCCGGAACCCTAGTCAGGGATCCTGATTCTCTTCTGGACTCGGACCTCGCACTTTCTGGATGTTGGTAGAATACATATTCTACTTCGTATCAAGTCTTCTTCTTTTACTCAATATGTGAGTTGGGACAATCCGATTAGAATAGCATGTCGTGTTACCGGATCCTCGCTCTCGTTTTCCGACTAAGGTAAACTCGTAATAATTCAAGCATATCAAATAACATGTTTACGTGCATGCGTAACACGTGGTGTTTTGTCTTTATCAGGATTCGAGGAGATGAATATTCCATATACGTGTGGATGAAGTTATGTTGTTGTTTTAAAAACGAAAAGTTGTATAGAGCAGCACTTCTATAGATTCATAAATTATACAAATTTTTTTGTACCCTTTTTAATATTATCGTGTTTCGTAAGCCATCAACTATTCATTTAGAATACAACAAGAGTATTTCAAGCCCATCCCTTATAATATTTCAATGAGTTTAAAGTGGAATTCGTTAGAATATTTTATCTTTCTGTGGCACATATAGAGCAAGATATAAATCAGGATGTTAATAGCTGGAAACTTCTTGTTATAAACAAATCCTATCAGTTTCATGTGATATCCTTTTAACTGTAATCCATCAACTTGATCATGTTTGAATTGTGCACATAATTAACAAATCTAAACAAACACACACAGTTTCATTCCTATGAACTCGAGAAAATATCCACTTACTAATCAATTTAAAACAAAAAGGAATCGTTTTAAATATATTAACGGAAAACTTGATAACATTTATTCACTACAAATGACAGTAATACAGAATAGTAATTGTAAATCGCTTCTCTTATGATCGTTTATTTGATTGTTCTATTTTTGGTGATTTCGATGGTGATACAGCTTTTGTGGCATTATTTACCAAATTCAAATAATCAGATGATCGTAAAAAACGTGCATACGAATCAGTTCTCATTAAATTATAAATATGTTCTTGTGCCAAATCAAAACAAAATGGATTTGGATTCTGTCAAAAAAACAAATTTTGGGAAATTTGAAAAAAGAATTAGTTTCTTTTTTTGACTTGACATAAAAAAAATCAAATTAATTGATTATAGAACAGTAGAGAATATTGTTTTTTATTGCGAAACCTCACTAGTGAGTAGCTTTGTGAGGAAATATTTGGGGTTCTAGTAAGAAATCGTGACCACTCGAGTTCAAACGTATCGGATGTAGGTGATTACCTATCGAAGACAATGGATGAGGTTGCGCAACTTCTACATTTACACAGTTGACTGCCAACTTAGTGGTTTATAGCTTAAGCGTTCATGTGCAAGAACGAAGGTCCTTGGGTTCAATTCTCGTGGGCAGAGGTCATGGATGCACATTGCTGGTGAGTCGCAGTGCTTCCAGGTTTCTGATGGTGGTCTAATAATCATCGATTCATGATTTCAATAAAGTTAATTTAATTAATCATTGCTAAATGTTAACCATAAGTATAATGTAAAAATGACAATAATGAATAAACTACTGAAATCTATATTTCAGTAAGCAATGTTGTTTTTAGGAAACGGGCACCAGGTGAGGATGGCAAATCAATAGATGAAATATCCAAAAAGCATCATTTGAGGTGGTTAGGATATGTGTTACGTATACCTAACTACCGACTGCCTCGTCGAGCTGTGTTTTACGATGTAGGAATAGGTTGGAAGAAAGCTAGAGGCTGAAGTCACTGACAAGTGGACTAAGTCATGTCGGTAGGTGTCGACTTCCTGGTTGGGGTCTGTGAGATGATAGTAATCGATGGTTAGAGAACCTGAATGATTTAGCTAATAATTGTTTGCAATGGCGCAGGTGTATTCATTCTTTGTGTTCTCTCAAATCGTAACCTTCTGAATTTCTCATCACCTTTATCTTTTTCTTTTTTGAGTTTCTTTCACTTGATTCCACTTCTTTAATAATATTGTCGAGACTTAATTTCTCCGAACAGTTAATACTTCTACTACCTCTACTACTATGGGACTTGAAGTGACTACTGTATCTCGTTGTAACTGACTGACTGAAATTTATATTTAGTTATCTATTTTTATTGTTGCTAGCAATAGATTCGATTTCTTTTGGTAGTTCCTTCTGTTTGTTTGCTATCTTTTTGAATTATTGGTTTTAATAACTTGGACTTGTTCTATGATTATTGTCTAAGTAATTTCACAGGATGTTTTCCTTTTCAATACTTAGAAAGAGTGGAAAAAGTGGTATGGTATGGAAGAAATCTACGCAGAACTGGTATCTGTCAGTCTATCAAAACTTCCTGACTGAAGTTTTCGAAGTGGTATAACTAAATGAGTTGCAACTGACAGTTATCTTTTACTTTCCTTATCAAATAAAAAGAACCGTTAATTTTAACTGAAAGAAGTTTTCCTAGTTGTATTTTTGTCTGAACTGTATCTCTCATAACATACTACTATCATCATATTTTTGTAATACAAGCTATAGTCGGCTTCATAATCACAGCCGAACTTCACCAGGGAGTGAACTAAGCACTATGGGATCGTTTAATAAGCACTTGAAACTACTGAATCAGATAGAAAGCGCTAGGCTTTTTAAAATTTATTTTTGATTTTGAATTTGGAAGATATACCATCGGAATTAACTGCCTTATTCTCAATAATGATAAATTCTAGCACAGCTGAATTTCGAGAATTTAAGTAAGATTTTATACGTTGAACTCATCAGTCAATCATTTTTGGACCATCGTTAGAAACTTGGAAGAACTAGATAACTGTTTCGTCCTGGGATGAGACTCATAAGGAGTGCGCATACATGACTCCTGCACCTTGTGGGACTCGAATCCAAAACCTCTGTTCCTGCTCGCGAACGCCTAACCTCTAGACCACCGGGTTAGCATCAAACTGTGTTAATGGTGGTCTAACAATGATTGGCTGATGATTTCAACGTGTAACAACACTGATCTTCGCGAATATAATTGTAAGATTTTATAGTTTACATCAAGAATAGATAACCATTGAAAATCTGAACTGACTGAGCATCTGTTTTATCCTAGCACACCTCTATACTATGATATATGTACCTATGGTATTTAGTATTTACAATATGCCAGACATTACTCACATACCTTTAATAATTCTTCTGTTACATTCATAATATAATTATCAACATTAATTTCACTAGCTCCAGTTTTAGCTAAAAATTCTGCGTAGATTCGTTTGGATTCTTTTTCAATCATTGATAATGGTCCATATTTATACTTGATAACTTCTTGTAAAAATCGAAAATTTTCACAACTATATTCTTTTTGCATAAAATGCTCCAACCATTTTTGTCCATTTTCATCACGAATCAGATTGTTCATACTGGTACCCCATAAACGTACCTGAAAATGAAAAGTTTCCCAAGAATAAATAATTAGTACAATTCAAACTTGACAGACAGACAGACAGACACAACGCACAACTTCGTACGTAAGTACATCAGTTCAGGTTGCTATACCACATCAGCACAGAGACACAACTATCATTTCAAATCCAAGAGTGATAGCAATAATAGAAGTATTAGCAGTAATGATGAAGATTAGGGAGCAAAGATATCATCCGAGAAGCATAATTCAGTGACATAAATTTAGAAGGAGAAATATAGAGATTATGAGGGATTCAGAAGATTAGAATTTGAGAGAACACAAAGAGTGGATACACGTGCGTCATAGCAAACGATTCTGAGCCATGTCGTTCAAGGTCTCTGACCATTAGTGACTTTCGTCTCGCGGACCCCAACCAGATAGTCTACATCTACCAACATGACTCAGTCCACTTGTCAAACTCGAAAATAATTCTATAAATTAATTCTATTGTACTATAGAATATTACTTAAATAATAAATCGATAAAGATATTTCTAGTGAGATATTTTATTTGCTGTTTTGTATTCTCTGAACTAGACAGAGAGATGATTGTTGAGCAAGTATTATCACTGTCAATAATATTATTAGCGCATATTTTATGTATATTTTGAAGTGGTGGAGAAAATTTGTAGCTCAGGTGGTGGATGATTGTGGTGAAGCTTCGTTCTGTGAGCTGGATGTTTTGGTTATAGAGCTTTTATTGTTATTCTGGACAAATATCATCAGCGCAAACTTCAAGTAGAAATGAAGTGTTCGAATTTCTTCATATATGAGTTGTAGCTTGTCCTTTTGACCTCATTGTTGATTGGCTGTTAATGACCTTTAACCTGTCTTTGTCTGTCCCGCCAACACACATAAAGCACAAAAAAAAATGGAGAACGACTATCCACCCAACTTCATCAAAAAGTATCAAACTACGGTTTATTCGTTTTTAATTCTTCAGGAATTTCAATCCCGCTATTTTCACTTTCAAGTTGGAAACATTTTCGGATCGTCATTTGATCGGATTTCTTACATGCTATGAATGTAAGATTTTTGATTTATCGATACGATTCATTCCAGAATCTTATTCAGGTCAATCATAATGAAAGTCATTGTGAAATTTGTTAATATTTAAGGGAGGCAACTATTTTGTGTAAGATATTTTTCTGAATGCTTCCGGAATTTTCTAAAAGTTTCATTTACTTCAATAGTTCAATATTTGAAATTCGGATTATCATAATCCGAATTTGAATTGAACACATAAAATGCATAGTTTTTCATACAAAACATGTGATCTATGTGCAACATTTCTGTTCTTAATCGAATTGCACTTTTTTTCTAATTAGGAGTGTAGTGTATGTATTTGCATGTTGAGCCCATGTGACTTGTCCCAGCTTTCTGATAAACTAATTGATCTTTTCTGCCTGTGTCGTTATTCATTCATCTTTTGACCTTGTCAATCATTCGCTCATATACTGCTTGCTTTTACCTGAGTGCGTGCGTATGTGTGTGCATTGTTCCCTTCGCTTATCACATGTCAAGCCCATTTTTTTGTCTGAGTCATAGCTCATTGATCGAGTTGACCCATTCGCCTTCTGTACTTCACTTCTCTTTGCTTCCATACTTTTTATTCTCATGTTTCTCTCCGTGAACGATTGAATGAAATAAACTCATTCAACTACATCCGTATTTGGCTTCTTATTCACCGCCGTCACATAAACCGCATTCGACTAAGTGTGAAATACGGGGAAAATTTATTTCACAGAATATTCAGTCGTTCGTACGGATAGGAGTCAGATCGCAGGCCACTAAAAAGAGTATGATGACTAAATGTTTCTTTAGGATTTCAAATGCATTTTATAGACTAGTAGTCAGACAAAATTCATAATATAACCAATTTTAAAACTTTGCAAGCTAAACTGAATAGAATAGAAGTTCTATTAAGTAACATTGTCGTTAAGGCGTACTTACTTTTTTTCATTTGAGTTCATTATTAAAACAAATCACATCACATTATTGAATTATAGACCAACCTTAAATAGATAGACAGTGAGAACCAGAAACACTTGACAATTTCATTTCAGCCGAAAGGTTAAGGGGTCGTTCTTGAGTTCAATCTCTGAAGAGATTAGTGATGTGTATTGTTGAGAGGGTTTATGGTAGTATAAATCAGCTAGCTAGTGTTCCATCACTCTCTATAGTTATATAATTAAAATCAGTGTCTGATAGAATAATACTAGAAGGTTCTCTCATTGAACAAGTCATCTATTATGCATCTATGAACTGCATTTAGTATTCACGAATTTTCAAAACGATATCGATTAAATTTGTGAATATACACAAGAAGTTTTGCGTTTATTCTCAAAATGTAATATAGACAATAATGAAATATCTTACAATTAATTTCCTTCAAACTTGAATAACTTTAGGAAGTTTGTGTTTCATGTTCAGTACTTGGTGCCGGATAGTATAACTTGATAAGATACTAAGTGATATACTATGTATGTAGACCACTTGATTAGATCACATGACGCACAGATACACAATTCCTACGAATAGGTTAGAATTGGATTATGGATCAGAACAACAGTTAGTGTGGTGCGCGCTACTTATAAGTAGTATATGACGCGAGTGTAAACATAATGTCTGGTAGCAGAAGATGGGGAAGATCAAGAAAGGAAGAGTGGGAACACAATGCAATTTGTATGAAACGCATGAATAGTGAAATGTCAGACAATGGATTGATGATGGATTGAAGATTTGCAAATTAACGGTTAGGATATGGTTTTCCTATTTTACTGAGTAACTCTGTAATTTTCGTTAAATACAATTCGGTTGCCCTCACCTGTGTTCTCCTTCACTACATTAGTTCAATCTTAAAGTTAACTAGATTTATATAGTTTGTGTTGGTAAAGACGTCGTGATTATTATTTTGGGTAGTATAGAAGTTTTATGAATACTGTACAACTGATAGTTTACATCATAGATTGATTTCAGCCAGATTGTTATTGAAAACTGAGTAATATTCGATATATGTTTCAGTTCTAATATTTTCTTTTCTGTGTCTATTAGACTGTGTAATACAAAATTTGAGATAGTGGAGAAAATTTGTAGCTCAGGTGAATGATTGTAGTGGAGTTTCATTCCATGTGGAGCCTTCACTGTTCTTCTGAACAACATCATCAGCACAAACTTCAGCTAGAAGTGAAGTATTCGAATTTCTCCACGTTCGACCCATAGCTTGTTCTGCTAACCTCGATTTTGATTAGTTGTTATTGACCTTAAACCTGTCGATGTTTGCACCTTGAATTTGATTGCATCCCCCCTTTGATCTGTTTCTTGATCCTACGTCTGTCAATGGTTTTTATGATTGGTTCATAAATTGGCTCAATGTCAATGTGTTTGTTGATTGCTGATTGACTTGAAGTTCAAGTTCTAACAATGCTCTAATGTTCTCTGTGCTCTCCCTATCCAGTATTTCAACTTTTTTTTTCCAATCGAATGTATGTTCTCAGTTGTCCGTATGTATTGGATATAAGGGAAGAAATGTCATGGCTGTTGACTGTTAATTGATACATTTACGCAAAAAAAGCTGAAGAGGCCGTTCACTTTGTCCTATGTAGCGTTTTTCACAACTGAAACATCCAACTGAGAGAACGAAACTCCACCACAATACAAAATTCGCACATTTTACAAACTTAACGTGTACTTTGAAAACTAGTATTTTACATTTAGAAAAATTATTATTTCTTACAGTTAGTATATTTCTGCTACAAATTTTAGGCGTTATAATTTAATTTTAACCAAAAAAAAGTGATCAACCTATTTCATTAATACACACGCATTTTATTTTACTTTCAACATATTTATTACCAATTTATTTAAATGATGTATATATACTCAAGTAAGCATTAAAACAAAAAACATATTGAAATGTTTCAACATTCAATTTATTTTTTTACAGGTGAATGAATATTTATTTCCATGTTGTTGTTGCTGTTGTTTATTGAAATGTTTTATAGTTACTTTTGTTTAAACTTCTTTTTTTTAGTGAAATAATAATAATAATAATAATACTTACTTAACCTCACCTAAAATTGTTTGTTTAAAACGAAATCACTTTTATCTGGGTCATATTTTATGAGTGAATGTGGAAAAGAAAGTGAAGGAGTGTTTTTTTGTATGCATGGATTTGTAAATGATCTTAGTTTGTAAATGACAAAATTAACTTAACAGTTGACAAGTTCAAAAATAAAACGAAACGAGCGTTTTACATTTCATTGCCAGGTATAGTTTAACCTTAGAATGACTTAAATAAAGTTACTAAAAAATTATTCTGAAATAGTTCAAGTTTACAAGTATATTTGGATTACTGATATACTCGTCAAATGATATGTTTGAATGCTATTACTCAGTAAACAGAAGGAAGAGCAATGACTCAGTGACACGATAAGCTATTCTAATCCGATTGTCCCCTGGCCCTGCTAACTACAGCAAGAAGTCTTGATAAGGCATAGAGAATGTATTCTACAAGCACACAAAAAAATACGAGATTGCTAAGCACACAAATCAAGCTTATTTATAGAATGATTGCTACGCTCTTGGGAGAGCCTCAAAAAAGCATACTAGAATAATCCATCAACCAATGACAGTCAACGGTTTCCGAATGGGCAATGTAAGCTGCAGGTCAACCAAGCGTCTCTTGGCTCGAAAACGTGGAAATTCAAAAGTTCAGAATACAATTACAAAGTTCGGACCTTTCCTAGTGAGTTCTGGGGGATCTAACGTGCCCAACAATGACGTCCCAAATTACCCAATATAAATACTAGTCATCTACAATCTTCGCTTTAAAATTTTCTTATGTTATTTCTGTCATAATTTTATGACAAGATATTTTGCATTCTAGTGATAAAACAATTCATTTTTGACAATCATAGTCTTCAAATTATAGACGTTCATAAATCTACGAAATCGATTTTTGTTAATACTAAGCATGTACGTATTAGTGAATAATTTTTAGAAACGATTTTCGAAATTCTTGTCAGAGACTTGTTAGAGTCAATCCACCAGGTCATTAAATGATGATTGAACACTATAGTAAATCATTCAAGGTTAGGAATGTAAGCCGATCAATGTTGACTCAGTTGTCTGAAAATTAAATTGTTCCAGGTTTGATATTATCTGGTATCATAGATGTATACTGCTGAATGAAATAAACGCCTAGTATCTTTTAATTTTCAATGATTATGTAACTAACGTCAGACGATGATATAATCTATAACTGAATTCCTTGACTGGGTGGGTGGATCTTTTGAAAAAAAAAACTTTTCTTTTCAGTGTCAGAAAAAATTAGTAAATCTTTCTTTCTTACTTAATTTCTTACTCCTGTTACTCCCAATGGAGCATAGGCTGCCGACCAGTATTCTTCAACTTACTGTGTCCTGGGTTTTTCTTTCCAGGTCTGTCCAGTTTTTGTTCATTTCTCTCATGTCTGTCTCCATTTCTCGACGTAGTGTTTTCCCTGGCCTTCCACTTTTCCCTCAACCTTGAAAGGCTCCAAGTGATGGCTTGTCTTGTGAGGCAGTTGGGTGTGTGTCCTATCCACTTCCACCGCTTCTTCCCGATTTCTTCCTCCACTACAACGTGGTTTGTTCTTTCTTACATTACCTTGTTGCTGATGGTGTCTGGCCAACGGATCCGAAGTATTTTGCGTAGACAATTGTTCATCAACACTTGCTTGTATCTTCTGGATGATTTATTCGTTAGTTTTTCAATTTTCCGCTAGATACGGTAGAACTGTCTGGATATTTGTATTGAAAATCCTAATTTTGGTGTTGATTGATATTTGTTTGGAGTTCCAGATGTCTCTTAATTATAGAAATACAGCTCTTGCTTTACCGATCCACGCCTTCACATCTGCCTCAGATCCACATCGCTCATCAATGATGCTGACCAGAAATGTAAAACGCTTTACATCCTCTAAGTCATCACCATCAAAGAATGTGATATGATTTATCCAAAAAAACAGAATTTTTAAAAAAAAACAACCCTATATCTATATCTATTGATAACTGGCATGTTTTGTTCTTTTTGTTTTTCACTTACCTGTTTTAATGTTGGATAAGGTGCAGGTCCAGTAATGCCAGTTTCTGAACAGATTACACTTTCATCTTCCCAAACACTTGTATCTTTGTCAGATGCAAACCAATTATTTTTCATTGTATCACCATTTAAAAGATTATCATAGTTGAAATGATTTGTAGCATAAAGTATAATTAATTCTATGGATTTTTTATCAGCACGATGTGAAGTTAACTGTGGATCTGTTTGTAATTGATGTGTCAATGGATCAATATTTTGTTCTATTCACAGATGACAGATGAAATAAATTATAATCAATAGAATGTAACATCATAACTAAATTAGATTAATATTAGTTAAACAACCAATGGAAACTAAGAAAGACTGGACAGAGATCAACTCTAAGTATGGGATTCTTCAGGAGTGAGGATCAAAGATCTTACCAGGGATCGAACTCATGACTTGGCTGCGAGCTATATCGAGTGGTCTACATGGGTCACTTCAGTCAATTCGTTCTGGATACTGTTTCATGTAGATTTACTGACGAGCATTACTGTGGAGTTTCTTAATAAGACGAAATAGCTAACCAGTGCTTCCTGGGTTCCGAAGGTTGCATAATTTACATCAATCAGTAATATTTATCAAAAATTAAAAATTCTCCATGAGATTCTATAACAATTTCAGTAATTATTAGCAGGAAAATTTAGGATACAATAGTCAGTTTATTTGAATTTTATCAGTCTGGTGTACCTACTATATCTGTGCTGATGCCTTTATTAGAATTTTTCAATTTAAGTCATAGAGATTAGTGTTTCCTGCGCATCAAAATCATCAATCAATCATTGTTAGACCACTATTAGAAACCTGGAAGCACTGAAGGACGGCCGTTTCGTACTGGTATGGGACTCATCAGCAGTGCGCATCCACGACTCCTGCACCTCACAGGATTTGATCCCGGGACCTTCGGTCTTGCACGCAAACGCCTAACCTCTGGACAACTGGGTCAACATCCAACGGGGTTGATGTCTAACTCTGATCAATCTACAAATAGTACCTATTAACTGAAATCGGACATAATTTAAGATGTGAACCACCTATCTTTGTCTGACATTTCATTATGATTTCTTTTGAATTATTAGCACACTCTCAGCTGTTGTTGTTCAAACTATTACAATCTAGTAGTTACATGGTTAGAGTATTCATTTCCCATACAATATATCCTATTTATAATAAAGTCATTTAAGTTTATTTACTACAGTCATTAAAACTGATGATTTGTTAGGGTTTTACCAAGTTTACTGGACAGTAAACATGAAGCTAATCATTTATTAGCTTCTAAACTAAACAATCTAAGTAAGTTCTAATGACAAACTGTGATTAGTATAGATCAGTCATGACAGAATTCAGGTCGATATCATTAATAGTGATGTAATGAATGAAAACGTCAAGACCAAACACCTAGTTTTCAGACTTCCATTTATCAAACAAGCATATTATTGGCTTTCTTCTCTCATATTTCTATATATATCTTCAAAACATTTTGATCACACCATACATTCGGATTCAGCACTCTACTCCGTACTAATTATAAGTCACATTGCAAGTAGTATCTAGCACAATAGGATCAGATGATGTTTAGTATTTGTCAAGAATTGATTGAAGTAAAAAAAAACGATGATGTAGTCTAAAATTATTGTGTTTATCAGTAAATAGTTAATTTATTGTGGTCTACGATCACTTAAAATACGCCATTTGTAGTGAACAAGAACGCTGGTGGGGCAACCGAATTGTATTTAACGAAAATTACAGAGGTACTCAGTAAAATCGGAAAACCATATCGTAAATTGTTCATTTGCAAAATATCAGTTCATCCTATCGAACTGGACTGTTCCTGTTGCCAAACATCAATCGATTGTCACTATTCATGCGTTTCATACAAATTCCATTGTTTTCTAACTCTTCCTTTCTCTTGATCTTCCCCCATCTTCTGCTGCCAGACATTACGTTGACGCTCACGTCATATACTACTTATAAGTAGCTCGCACCACAGCACCACACACTTACTATCTAACGAATAATCTAACTAAAGAAATCTAATTATTTTAGACAGAATGATGACTTTCATGTGATAAGTCTAAATATAAAGATTCTATATTCCCAACGATTATTCAAGTGTTTCAATTTTAACATGATCAAAACTTCACTAGTCATAACTGCTCACTCGAACGTTAGATGTTCAATTTTCAATAGTGATATTTATTGAACATACTAGAATGTAACGTTGACATAGAATTCTCTGATAGCTTAAAGTTCTCTATAGATTATTCTGTTTAAATTTATCAAATTATCAATATGATATTCTGATTATTCTTTATATTTCTTTCTTAGTTTTTACATGTTTTGTAAATGTTAAACATTCAATAGTTTCAATATTCAATAAATGAAGAGTAAAATGGCTAAAAATAAGGAATGGAATAAGAAAATTAGCCAATAAACAAACACTCTACCTTCTAATAGCCTTTTTTGTTCTAACATTTTATTTCTCATTTGTTCTTGACGTACTTGAATTTGTTTCAGTGTGAAATTTCTTGGTAATGCATCTGTTAATCGATTCTTTGCTTTTCCTAATGGACGATATATTTTCCAGAAAGCTTCTTCCTTTATTTAAGCAAATGAAATGAAATTTAGTCAGTTAAGAGAGAAGAGTAAAGAGAAGCCTAATGTGTGTGAGTATCAATAAGCGTTACGGATGAATTCTATGCTAGGATGAAACACTTGTTAAGTGTCACCTGATCGCGAGAACTCACTTGCGAAAGGTCCTAATTTTGGATTTTTATGTTTTCGCGCATAAGTTGCTCATTTGACCTTGAGATTACACTTCCCACTCGCAAAATCCTTGACTATCATTGGGTGATGTATTATATTAGTGAGCTACTTTTGTGGCTCTCCCAAGGACGCTTTTATCATGTATAAATAAACTCGATTTGTGTGCTTGTCGACCTGGGCGTTTGTAGACTACACTTTCTACGCGACATCAAGACTTCTCGCTATAGTTAGCCAGGCCGGGGACAACGGATCGGAGTAGCGTATCGTGTCACTGCATCATTTGTTTTCTCTCTTGTCAACCGAGTAAGGTGAACTCGTAATAGCATTCAAGCATACTGATTGTCGAGCATGGCAAAAACTCACTCAATGCGTGAGGAGTCTGTTACTGAAATGTAGAAAACAGCTGTTCAATATCCTTTGGTTTATAACGGTTCTCTTTAGCTAAAACCAGTTCCTTAATGTAAACTCCTACTGAATTAAACTTCTCACTCTAGTCATGAACACAAATTGTTAGAATTTTAAGCAAAATCATTCATTACCTGTAATCTTAATATATTTTTATCAACTTCATCATGTCTACGCTCGATACGTAATTGTTCAGCTGCTTGAAATTCAATTATTTTCCATTTATCACTTAATGATTTTGACAATTGATTAAAAATGGCTTCTTCACGATCAGTAGTTTGAAAACCGCCTTTTTTTAAATTTCGTTTCATTAAATAAATTGCATAATCTATATCATCAACTTTAGATATTTTAGATAACCAATAAAATGGAGCCTGCCAACAAAGGGAAAGTGAATAAAGATGAAATTATTAGATAATAATCTTTTTGATGTTTAATTTATTAGAGCTAGTAAAACCACTCAAAAAAACACTGAAAGTTGTTTTATTCAAGTCTTAAAAATTCTTTGTATTCAAGTTAAACTACTGATTAAAATTTGTAGTGCTGTTGAAGTCTGACTTTTGGAACAAACTGGGCTAAACTATCATTGAAAACCAGAAAGTACTGAAAGGTATTTTCGTTATAGTAAGGGACTCATCAGTAATACTCATCCATAACCCTCACTCATGGGAGTCGAACCTGGGTCGTTCAGTCTTGCACGCGAGTACCTGACCTCTAGACCAATGAGTTGGCATCGAATGGTGCTAATGTCTGAATTCAACCAATCCATGATGTTTTGTAACCATCATATACTACCTGATGGGGATAACTGTCTCTTGCTGAACACTAAATGATTTCATCTTCATTGATACTTAGTCATGGCGACAGCCATATTGATTTGTGACTCCTTTGACTGTGTTGCTTGTGTTGACTGGAATTGTGCATTTTAATTGTGAAATGGAAGCACTCTTCCAGAATAGGAAACACTGTGTGTTATAAAGCAACCAAATATTATCTGTCAAACAAATCTGATCTATCCAAGAGGGATAGAATAACATTTATTTGTTGCTGTTGATTTGATTAATTGAACAATTGTTGGTGGAATAACTGAGTGGTAATATTTGTTTAGGTAATGATGTATATTTATATTTATGATGAATATTAGAACCATCATTTACTCAATCACTTTGTTTCGGTTTCAACTGGGCAATAGCGCGTATTTAAACTACCTAGACAGTTATTCCTCATTTCGAACCTCAGTTTTGATTCTACAATATGTGCTTTCAAACTTGACAGGACTGATGTTTTTCATGGAGTCAGAATCGGAATCGGTGAATTAATTCTTCTTCATTTGGGTCCCTCAATGACGTCCTGCAGAAATGAATAAGTTACACTAATTGGCTGCATAGTACTAACTAAAATTCTATGATATAGTCCACACAAATGAATGAATCTTATCAATCCTGTTACACTAATTCAAGTAATTTAATTTCAAACTGGACTTGATCCCTGCAATATTATAATTTAACTGATAGGATTTTATTACCACTAAGAATTGAACACAAAGTCATTGGTTATTAATTAGTCATTAGTTTGGTATAAATTAAGTCTTTTTAGCTGGTGTTCTCTGACTAATGAAGACAATGACTCATCTAAATACCTAAAACATCAACTGTCAATTTTTAATGAGAGCTGTATGAAAAATTCAATGTTTGACTATTGCAAACGATATCACCCTGTTCTATTTGCATACCAGGACGAAATGACCGTACAGTGCTTCCAAGTTTCTTATGGTGATCTAACATTTGTTCAATATATGATATCAATAAGTAACTCAACAATCTCCACAACCTCATAATGCAAATTACCTGGCTCATTCTGAGTTCTAGTGAGAGGTCGTGACCACTGGAGCTCAACCCTGTTCGGGTGTGAAGCAATGCTCACCGAAGACAGTGTATGAGGTTGCGCAAGACCGTGAACTGGTCGAAGTTAGACATTAACACTGTTAGATACCGGCCCAGTGGTCCAGAGGTTAGGCGTTCATGAGCAGGACCAAAGATCCTGTGTTCGAATCTTGCGGGGTGCATGAGTTGTGGATGTGGAGTCCCATACCTAGACGAAATGCCCATCCGGTGCTTCCAGGTATCTAATGGTGATCTAACTATGACCGATTCATGATTTCAATAAATTCTATCTGTTGATTTAAATAGGGTCGGACCAAAACGTTAATCATTTGACCAAGATTCGTTCTAGTTCGCTAATATACCTATGCATATAATAAGTTAAACCAACCTGAAATCGATACCAATAAGTTTTATTCAGCTTAAAATAGGATTGTGATGAATCAGTTATACGAAATATGTATCCATAATATAAAAATAATTCAGCCATATGTAATGCTTCTTGTTCATCATCTGTTGGTATATTTTCTTGAAGCCAATTGACAAATACACAACCTTGAAATGCATAATGCAAGAATGGATCTGTTTGAAATCTAAACAGAAAATAATAATCAATGAATAATAATAATAAAAGCATCAATGTGTACTCATGAATAAGTCCAGTTTTGTTTGAATTCATTCGGCCAATAATTTGTTCCATTTTATGTGTTTGTAAACTACGATATTGTAAATCCAATGGTTCTGTTGCAGACATTTTCAATGAAAGAAGTTCTTCTCTAAAGAAAAAAGAAGGAATGAACATTTGGATGAGCATAGTATTGATTTTTTTTTAGGAAATTGAAGAATTATGAGAAATTAAAAGAGTTTGTATTTACAGGCACCAACTGCTGGAAGTAATGAGTAATTTAAACTTGGTAAACAGGAATTCATTCTCTCTCTCTCTAATTAGTGGCTTGATTGACGTGGAGCAAAATTTACTGAAGTTCTTAGTTGGAACAACTGACTACCAGGCAACTTAACCAACGAATGAGTGAATATCTCCCAGTATGGTTAAAGAAGGGTCAGTCAAAAATAATACGCAGTTCGATCTTAGCACACCTGGTTGATAGTGGTCATTTGGGAGATAAGTCTAGATCTTTTCGGGTGATCTATCGTATACCTCAGTCATTTCCCAACGGAGTTCGATCCCGTCTCCTACACACATAGCAGAAGCCATAGGAATACGTACATTCAACCCCAATTTATGTGTTCAGAAGAAATTCGTGACACCCCGATCTCTTCTGTGGCCGAATATGACGTAACTAACGATTGACATTATATATTTTTTATCTTATTTTTATTTTTACATATTTGCTTATTACGTAATGGTTTTGATGTTTTTAATGTTTATTTGAAGTCTATTCATCCATGTTTGACCTAATATTGATAAAACTTTAGTTATCCTATTTTATAATTTTCTTACTACTATCAGTACACCTGTCTTCCTACTATCCAGTTGTACTTTTGCCTATTATATGTAGTGACGTAATCTTTTTCATTTGATTGTGATTATGACTCAAATTGTCTTGATTGGTTTAACATGTTCATATAAATATTCATGTATATTAGAGAGTAAAGCCTGATGACAATCTAATCGAAAACAGTAATATTGTTCGCTTATTATATGTTGTTCTAAATGACTACTAGTAAGCATGATGAACAGTGTTCGAAAGTAGTATTTAGTATATATATCCAAAAATGGATCCATTTTATTCGTAGTTTAGAGTATAACGCAAACAGACATTTAGTACTTGAGAAGTTAAAACAAACACTTCATTATTTCTTATAATTTGTCTTTAAGAAATAGATTATACTAACATATTCTTAGTTGAACTACATTATTCCATCGATTACCAGCAGTTATAATCAGTAAACGTTCATTATTTTGGTAATGTTGCATTAGAGGTCTCAGTGAAGTCTAAAACGAACGTTACATTCACTTCGGAACTCACTAGCTGAATCTACAGTTAGTCAAGTATGAATGTTTACAAATGGGACTTGAATGGAAAGCTTATTTATTGTAAATCCCAATATATCATTCATTGTGCTATTGAGTTTATCTTTGTCTGGCTAACATATCCACAATGATGATATATGAATCCTGAATTTCACTGTTAACCATTAGTCAGCTTTACTAAAACATATGTGTAACTAAATGAATATATCAACGCAGTTCCCTCAAATGCAGTCATAAATAGTAACAGTTAGAAATCTCCAATATTTGCATATTAAATATTATCTGAATGGAGTTGAAATAACCTAAAATAGATGAGTAACAATTGACTGACTTTCTTATTTTCTAAAAGTGCAAAAACTCACTTCCGTCTTCTCACATAAAAAGTAGATCTTTATTTTCAATTAAAGTTATGGAGATTAGTGTTTATACACATTTGTAATCATCAATCAATCATTGTTAGACCACCATTAGAAACCTAGAACCACTATATAGCTGTTTCGTCCAGGTATGGGACTCATCAGCAGTGCGCGTCCACGATTCCTGCACCTCGCAGGATTCGGACCCAGGACTTTCGGTATTGTACGCGAATGCCTAACCTCTGGACCACTGAGCTGGTGTCTAACCATGCTAATGTCTAACGTCAATCAATTCACAGTCTTGCGCAACCTCATACACTGTCTTTGGTGAGAGCCTAGTGCTTCCAGGTTTCTAATGGTGGTCTAACGATGACTGATTGATGATTTCAAATGTGTAAAATGTAAATCAATGCGTATTCACATGTGATGATGTGTATTTTAATAATGTAATTCATTAACTAATATTTCTGTAAAACTTGGATTATGTTTTCTGATTTCTTTACATTTAGATTTAACTTAGGCAGTATAGATTTCTCTGATTTATTCAGCTTAATTATTAAATTTTCATTGTCATTCTGGGCAAAATTACCAGTGTCTGCTTCAAACAGATGTGTACATAAATATCTTAGTTGTAATTACCCCTGATCAAAAACCTAAATGGTAAGTGATGAGTTCGATTATTCAGTAAGCTTGTTTTATTTTTTTTTTAAATACTGTATGTTATCTCTTAACAAACTAATCAGAAGATATGATAAGTTCTGTTCAGAAATCTATATATTACAATGTAACCGGTATAAGGAATGGAAATGTCATCTAGTTATTGCTTTATCACACAAAGTGATAGTTTTAATGATCACTGTATTTGACTCCCTTCTATTCAGGTCAAATTTCAAAGTCCATCTCACCTACTTGGGTTTCGGCAACCAGTTAAGATTATTAGCTCAGTCGCTTAGAGTGTGGTTGATTCCCGTGTATATTTGGTGGGTGAGTTTATAATTATTTTGGCAGTACATATTCAAACATTTTTTATTTAGATATGACTAATATAATCGAATATCGCTAAAAAACATTTTTCTATCTTAAACTAGCATCAATCAACTAACTACTTGAAATTCAAGGGTCATTAAACTATACATTCATTTTATACACTTGTAGTGATCTCACTATTACGAAGAAAATACGATTGGTTAAATAGAAATATTCTTCGTTATAATCAACTGTACTGATGGTGCTGTGGTTGTATTAGATGTGGTAGGCTGTAAGGAAGGCGAAAGCTTGATATCTTTCAAGATCTGCATTAGTTTCAGCTGCTGCTCAAGTAATAATTCAAGTTTAGAAGGATCCATGTTTCCGAAAACCGCAGTCGCCAATTGATATGCTTAAATGCGATAACAAGTTCACCTTACTCGGTAAACGGGATGAAAGCAATGATTCAGTGACACAATAAGCTATTCTAATCCAATTGTCCCCGTCCCTGCTAACTAGATCAAGAAGTCTTGATAAAGCGTAGAGAATGTATTCTACAAGCGCTTAGAAGATACGAGGTGTCTAAGCACACAAATCAAGCTTATTCATACAATGATAGAGACGCCCTTGGAAGAGCCTCAAAATAGCGTACCAAAATAATCCATCAACCAATCACAGTCAAGGATTTTCCGAATGAGAAATGTGAGCTGAAGGTCAACAGGCACGAAAACATGGAAATAAAGTTACAAAATTAGGACCTTTCCAAGTGAGTTCTTGGAATCTAACGTCCCCAACAGAATCAACTCGTCATCTTTTAGCTAATGATGCACTCCAAGGCTTTCCAATTTTCTGACAGTCTCAATCACATAAACATTACTCATAAGTCGATGACTTCTTTTAACGTAACATCTTTGTTTACAAAAATACAGCATGAAATCGTATAAATAATTTTCAAGCAATCTGATCTTCAGTCTCTACCAGTACAAGGTCACAAATGACTACTAATTACGTTCACAGAAGATGTCTAGTTTCAAACTGATAACACCATATACCGTTAAACAGATGGTGTAGTAATGGGAAGTTGACTTAGTCCCATCCTAAAATATATATTCACGGATAGCCTCGAAAAAATCGAGCTTCAAAGAGCAACTGATAGAATGACTTATTATTCAAGGTATGCTCACAGTACTTTTATTGTATGTACTGATTATAAACAAGCGAAAAAAACCTGTAAAACTTTTTCAGCGACGTTCAAAATTAAATGTTCAAATATAGTAAGTACAACTCAAGGTTCAATTTATCTAGAAGAAACGTAGAGTGGCTTTCATCTGAATTTTAATACCTTTGATCTAATTATTTACAAAAATGTACTTATCAAAATGTTGTTTTATAGACTGGAAAGAGTCTGAACTATCGACACATTTGAGGTAGAATTAATTAATAAACAATAAAAAAATGCCTTATGAAAAATGGGTTTCCAAAAATTTTTATTGAAAAGTATAAGAAAAGTAACGACAAAACGCTTAGAGAAACTACAGCAGACAAGAAACCTGTCTAAATTCAACTTGAATTCAAAGGTGATGATGTCGCTAAGATAATGAACAGAGATTGAAAACTACACTAACCATAAATTATCAAATATAAAACAATATTTCCTTTACGCACGTTGCGTTACCGCCAACTTTGTACATTAATTTACACCACAGAAAGAAGGGCCTACGTTTGACTTCAAGAACATCCTCTGAATTCCTGTGTCTATTTGTTTAAAAGCTTTGGGCGGTGTTATTTCAAAATATTTCTGTGTTACGGGGCATTAAGTTGATAGACTGTAATCCATCAGTATCATCAACCGAAAGTTGAATGATGTTTTTCTCAACTTTGTTAAATCCATAGCCATCAAACAACTTAAGCCGGACTTATGTACCCATAAGGAAACAGTTGTAAATTTCTCCCTACCATAATAGCTTTCTTGTTGGTGTGTTACATCATTTCCTCAAAACTTTCTCTCTCTCTCCCTATTATTTTAATCCCACTATTTCTTCCAAAGTCATACATAACTTTATTGACTGATCTCAACCCATGTTATACTTAATTGTCATTAATTTATGATTCAATTACTTGATTATATAATCAATCTGTTAATTATTACATCTCTGTGATCACTTGTTAACATGTTTTATGATCGAAAAAGTTTCTCTCACTTATTTTTTTACAACACTCTTTATATTGTCTTCAGTCTCACTAATCCATCACGACGATGCATAGCCCCTTTTTACTGTTCTAGATATTTAGAGTTGACAAGAATTCGGATTTTTTAAAATATTACCAGTCATAAGCAGCTGATGAGAACCTTACAAAAAACACTACGAATTTATGTTCAGTTCTTTGTCCATGCTCTCATCAATATCCACCTTAATTTGTCATTTTTCAGGAAAA